TACATTCTTTCTGAAAAATAAAAGTCCAATATTAGAAAAACCAAATGGAAAATAGACGGAAAATGCATTTTAATTTTTTGTCGATATTCTATTTTTACACGAATTAAAAATAATTCTGATGGCAGAATTCGTACAATTCGAATACGAAGCGATTTAAATAATTTGGACTGTATATACAAATTAGTACTGTACACATATTTGCCCTTTTCTTTATATTGAAAAGCTCATAACATTACCAACAATTTTAATTTTTTAGATTTTTCTTTTGATATGTGTCGAGTCTTGACATATGAAATCCAAAGAATATAAATCTACTAGCTGCATATTAAATATAAGCTCTAAAACATTTTGTTGCCTGTGGGCAACATTGGACCATAAAGGGTTAAGAAACAAATAAAGGGTTAAGAAACAAAAAACAAATGTTATAAAAGATATCCTAGAGGTCGTCTTGTTATTATCATAATTAATACGCTCTGCTGACCTGCAATTATTATAACATATACGACCTCTGGGTCAAGGTATAAGCTATTAGGGATGTTTTATTTTTTATGTATTATACCGAGGATAATCAGAGCTATAAATCTGCATTAAGAAGTAAACGCCTGCTGAGGAACTACCAGAGTTATGGTGTATTTTAAAATAAATCTTAGAGGTCGTATTATTATTAACGTAATTCATACGCCCTCATTACCTTTAATTATTATTACTTACACGACCCCTTACATAAGCATAATGTATTTGAAAGTCATTATAACAGTTTATAGGCCCCAAAGCACCATTATTATTACATATAAAATACCTTCCTCTAGGTCCTTGCAAAAAAAATATTTCTTAAAAAGTTGAAACATCCCGGCTTGAATAAGATATTCTTTAGAAAAGCACTCCTTCAGATAGCCATTAAAAATATTTTTTAAAACATACACCTGACAGACCCTAAAAAATGTTCATTAAAAGTTCACGCCTTCAGATAGCCCTTCAAAATATTTGTAGAAAAATATTCTTTAAAAAAATCACGCTTCTTGTGGTCATAGAAAAAATATTCTTTAAAAAAATCACGCTTCTTGTGGTCATAGAAAAAATATTCTTTAAAAAATCCACGCTTTTGTTGTCTAGGCAAAAATATTCTTTAAAAAATCCACGCTTTTGTTGTCTAGGCAAAAATATTCTTTAAAAAATCCACGCCTTATGGTGGTCCTAGAAAAAATATTCTTTAAAAAATCCAGGCATTGTTGGTATTTGAAAAAATATTCTTTAAAAATCAACGCCTTGTATTGTTAAATGTTATTTAAAAAAAGTCTTTAAAAATCAACGCCTTGTATTGTTAAATGTTATTTAAAAAAAGTCTTTAAAAATCAACGCCTTGTATTTTTAAATGTTATTTAAAAAGTCTTTAAAAAAAAGTCCTAGAAAAAATATTCTTTAAAAAATCCAGGCATTGTTGGTACTTGAAAAAAAATTCTTTAAAAATCAACGCCTTGTATTGTTAAATGTTATTTAAAAAAGTCTTTAAAAATCAACGCCTTGTATTGTTAAATGTTATTTAAAAAAAGTCTTTAAAAATCAACGCCTTGTATTGTTAAATGTTATTTAAAAAAAGTCTTTAAAAAATCCACGCCTTCTATTGGCTCTTAAAAACACATTCTTTAAGAAATTCACTCCTTGTATTGGTCCTTGAAAAAATATTTATATTACTAAGACTCCTTCTCTTACCGTATCCTTGGTGTCGTATTGATATTAACATAATTCATACACACCACCACCACATACACCACCCAAGGGTAGTTCGTAATTTAATTTGTTAAATTCCGTATCAATTATCAAATATCGATTTTTTTATTTCCTTCCTCGAGTTTTTTTCTTTAAAAAAACCTAGGTTTGTTTTTGCTCCTTGAAAACATATTCTTAAATATCCGCAACTATTTTAGACCTTATTTTTTTAAATCCTTCAGATTGTTCTAGAAAAATCCATGGCGTCAGATACTCCTTAAAAATCAATATTCATTAAAAATTCCGCCTATTATTGGTCCTTTAAACAAATATTCATATTATTGCGACATCGTCTTTTACCATATCCTTGGTGTCGTATGAATATTAACATAATTCATACGCCCCAACTGGTTTTCATTTATTATTACTTATACCACCCAAGGGTCAATTTGCAATATAATGTATCAAAAAAAATTTTTTTTTGATTTATTTCCTTCCTTGATTTTTTTTCCGTTTTACTTCCCTTCCCTCTCAAAATCGAACTTTACACCTTCAAATGAAAAATCAAAACATCATGATGATTTCAATAATGATTGCATGAGTTTTCAGTTTTGTAATAACTGCTATAATACAACCAGGTGATGATGAATTGTTGTAATACAATATTACTAACAATTTATCAATAGAACGAATTGAAAAAAAAAAAAATAAACAAACAACCGATAGTTCTATTCAAATGCAATTGCAGTCAAGTGCAATTAATTATGATGATGATGGCGTTGATGATGATTACAGAGAAAAACTTTCCATTTGAAATTATAGTAATGGTGCTGGTATTGTTGTTATTACTCGAGCAGTGATCGACAAGCAACCACCCACCCACCTAAGCATCATTTTCGCTTAGGTATTAGATTACAAAACGGGAAAATTTTAATTACATAAAACCTCTCATCATCATCTGTCTATCTTTCCTATCGCTCATTCAGATTTATACGCCCGTTTTTTTTTTCGTTTACGTTTTGCGGTAATAAATTTCGTATCTTGTTAGTGGAGGGAACAACACAAATTTTTATAACTTTTTTTACACCGAGTTAGGGCATTGTAATCCGCCACCTCCATCCGACCCGCTTTGAGAGATTTTTATTTACAGTTGTTGTATACAATTACAAACAGCTCACCAGCTTGTTTCAATCACTTCTGTTGCCATTGTTCGAGAATATTACCACATAAAAAAACCGTACAAATTAAAATAGTTTGTAATCCTCGTGCCGTAATAGAGGTAGACGTGAGATAATCGGGTTAAAAGTATCTAGGGATGATAAATTAAAATAAAGTAATTATTTTAATTGATTCTCTATGTGATACAGATAGGTTGTGCAGGTTCTCTATTACAACACTATAAATTATTTAATGAATATATAGTAATAAACATAATTTTTCAAATATGTTCTGTGTGACGTATGACTATTGACACCACTCATACGCATCCTGTACAGAGTACCGGGGATTGTATAAGTGTTATTAATTCAGGGTAATCAGAGGCGTATGATTGACTTAAATTTTAAATTATTTCATATACCTATTAAATATAGGTTTACATTAGTTTTTTATAGTACATTTGTACTTCACAGTCCCCTTGAACACCCCTCCAATCTAGAATAGTATTTTATGATTCCACTTAAAATTACTACTTTTTTCCCATCGAAAATTAGAGAGAGATTATCTATCTCTCGGCAAGTGATTACTGAACGTAAACATTTAATCTTAACAGCTGTTAGACACGAAACCATCGAACCGCACCGCACACCAACAACTGTTGATTGTTCGCATTTTTTGGACTGCGTCACACACGATGATGAAGCGGCCGATAGACATACATAGATAACGAACGATGATGAGGAATAACAAAAACAAAACACAAAATCTCAACAATTTAGAAATACTAAAATGTAGAGCAAATCAAATCTTCTGTGAAAAACAAAACACACAATAGAACTGATAAGGCCATAATACGACGACCACCTATGAAAGACCCATATCAACTACTGCTGCTGACTTCGGGACAGACATTAATCGTTCGCTTGTGAGGAGAGTGTTAGTGCAATGAAAATATAAATGTTGTTATCTTTAAGTGATTTAAAAACAAAAATTGTATAGCCGGCCACAAAACACGTACATACCGATGCCATAAAAACCACGAACAGAACGTCTTAAGCCATAAATGACTTAAGTCATAAAAAACACTTAAGGAATTTGCAAAATCCAAGTGGGGAGGGGGTTAACTTGATTTTGTATTAGGATAGGTTCGAAATTGAGGAGGGGTGGGGGGTGGTATGCATGCAGCTTAAGTTTTCCCAGAAGGTGTGGATTTTTTAAAGAATATTTTTTCAAAGGGCCATACAAGGCGTGGATTTTTTAAAGAATATTTTTTTCAAGGGCCACACAAGGCGTGGATTTTTTAAGGAATATTTTTTCAAGGACCACAGACAGGTGTGGATTTTTTTAAAGAATATTTTTTCAAGGACCATATAAGGCGTCGATTTTTTTAAAGAATATTTTTTTTCAAGGGCCACAGACAGGCGTGGATTTTTTAAAGAATATTTTTTCAAACGGCCATACAAGGCGTGGATTTCTTAAAGAATATTTTTTTCAAAGGGCCATACAAGGCGTGGATTTTTTAAAGAATATGCATAGAATCACTTTCTGGGTCGATTTACGCATGTCCGTCCATGTATTTTTGTGAACAAAGTACAGGTCGCATTTATGATCCGATTTGGATGAAATTTGGCATAGGTCACTTATTTGGCCCAATGACGAACCCTGTTGAAATTGGGAATAATCGGTTCAGATTAAGATATAGCTCCCATATATATTTTCGTCCGATTTAAGGTAAATGGTGCAACAAAGTCCCTTAATATCTTTCGGTTTGCACGAAATTTGGTTCAGCGTAAGGAATTAGGTCTAGAATGATGTGTGTTAAGTTTCCTGAAATCGGTTCAGATTTAGATATATCGCTTGCAGAATGACATGTTTATGGATCCAATTTCATTTTACTGGTCCTTTATAAATGCGACGTCTATTAGGATTCATCTGTTGAATATACCCAAAGTGGTGAAGGGTATCATATAGTCGGCCCCGTCCGACTTTTTAACTTTCCTTACTGGTTGTATTTTTTTATAAAAAATGTGTTCTTTTTTCATATTTGAATTTTATATTCGTTTCCAATAAAATTATTTTTTTTTTTCAATCCTTCAAATTTTTACTAATTTGTTTTTTCTTGCTCTTTCTTTTAGGCAAAGAACCAGCCTTGCGTTCATTTACCGAAATCAAACAGCTGCTCGATCAAGGCAAAAAACGTGAAGTGAAAAGTATTTTACGTGAAAATTCATGGCCCATTAATTCACCGATACGATCACAATTATGGCCGGCACTGTGTGCCCAACACAATACGAAACCACAAATGGTTGAGGGTTTCTATTGGGAGATGGTTCATCAGGTGAGTTCAAAATGACAACTTTTTTTCGAAAAAATAGAAAAATTAATTTTCTTTCCCTTTGCCTCCCTAGGTTTTCGGTACCACAGAACTATCGGAAAAGCCCATTATGTTACCAGCATTTGTTGATGCAACCCATTGCCTGCCGTATCATTTAACGCGTACCGGTCGAGCGGTAGCCGATCGTATTGTTAATGTATTGGGTTATGATTGTCCAGATATTACTTACAGTCCAGTATTGTATCCAATTGTATCGATCTTATTGCATTTTATGTCGGGTAAGTTTGTGTGCGATTTTTTTTTAATTTAATTAATTAGAATGAGAGGAAATTTTGTAAAAACTTTAGTGTGGGTCTCGGGGTCGTATAATTAATATTAATATGGTCTTAGAGGGCGTATGAGTAGTAGCAGTAAATTAGAATACTCATACACATACTCATACGCATACTAAGATAATTAATAATTTAAATAAGTGGAGGTGTCGTATGGTAATGGGGGCGTATAAATATTGGGAATAATTTTAAATATTCATACGTCCGAATGTTTTGAAATTATTTTGGGATTTATTTATTCATAAAAGTACGCCGATTTTTTTAATAATAAAAATTGTATATCATTGACCCGATCTTCAACCAAATATGATCCCTGAAACCAATAAGATTTCAAGCCATTCTATTTATTGTATTTTTCAAGCCATCATATTTATTGTATTTTGCTCCCTATTCAGTCCACTTTCTATACCCAGCCTGTGTTTGAGCAGCGTGCATTTTCAATATTACCATTGTTTACATTGAATTTCCAGATGAAAAAAGGTGTAAACTAATTGTTCTAACAAAAGGATACAATTTTTTCCAGATATTTTTTCCATACAATTGATGACATATTTCATTATTTGCCATAGACTCGTGGTTGTGTGCACATTTTTTTTATATTTACAATATTTATACACACCCTCACACATTTCCCCCATATAGTGGGAGTGACAGTTGTTGTATTTTTTTTGTCACCGGAGGCATATGGTTGGTTGTTGGTGCTGTCTCCAATTGCTCTAATTGTTTAATCACATGGTCACACTGAGGATGTTGACAATTGTCAAATGAAACAGATAGACAGACAGACAGACAGATATACCTTACCTTGATATCAAAAGAAAATAAATAATAATAAAAAAATAATAATTCTATAGTTTTAAAAATAAACTTTGCTAAATATAGACGAAGTTGTTTAAACATTGAGTGTAATTAATTCATTTAAGTTTTATACCAGTTATTAAAGTAGCGAATAAAGAAACAGCAGATAAAACCTATATTAATAGACATTGTTTAAAAATAACTTGTTTTTATATAAATTTTCCACATGTCTATAAACAAATCTACAGAGACGATATAAATGCATTCTGTGTTTACACAGAAAGAGTAAAAATTTTCGCCCTTTATGGCAAAAGTATTTGTTCATATATAGATATTATGTTGATTTTTCTCAAATATATATTTTTATAAAAAATATTTTTTTAAGCTTCACCTAAGGCGTAGATTTTTAAAAAAAAATTTTTTCAAGCTTCACCTAAGGCGTAGATCAAAAAAAAAAAAATATTTTTTCAAGCTTCACCTAAGCCGTAAAATATTACTTATTTACTTAGATGGCTTGTTACAGAACGGTAGTTCCATAAGCCGAGCTTTAAAAAAGATTTCAAAACGCGTCGGTCTTGTGCGCATCTTCTCCAATTTGAAAGACCACTTTCCAAGATGTTGTTTCCTACTTGTTCTCTCCATCTTATTCGTGGCCGGTCTTCCCCTTCTACGTGAACCATCAGCTGGTTCGCTTTTATATGCCTTTTGGGCTGGGCAATATTCACCGTCAACGCCGATCGGCCCATAGATCTTCGGAGAATTTTTTCTCTGAAACACTGCAAGAGCTGCCTCATCGGCTTGCGTAAGTACCCATGCTTCAGATCTAAATAACAGTACGGTAGTATCAGCGTCTTGTAATGTGAGTTTGGTCTGACGGAAGGTGGCCTTGTTTGTAAACTGCTTACGTAGACCATAGTAACATCTGCTGGCCATCACAATCATTCTCCGAATTTCCAAACTGATGTCATTCGTCTTGTATATGGCGGTACCAAGGTATATAATAATAGCACGGGTAGTATCAGCGTCTTGTAAAGTGTGAGTTTGGTATGGCGGGAGGTGGTCTTGTTTTTAAACTGCTTACCATAGAAACATCTGTTGGCCATCACAATCCTTCTCCACATGTTAACATGTTTTGTTTGTTGTACAAAGTGCCATTTCTGTTCACCTTTGGTTCTCGTAAGACCTTTTCCAGGAGGACGTTAAACAGGTCATACGACAAACAGTCACCTTGTCTGAATCCTTTTTCGGTATTAAAGGGCTCCGAAAAGTCCCTTCCGAATTTAACTGCTGATCTTGTGCCACTTAAAGTTATCCTGCATAGCTGAATTAAATTTGCAGGAATGCCAAACGCAGACATGTCTTTAGACGCCTCTGAACAGAAAGGGCTATTGAATGCGGCTTTATAGTCGACGAATAGGTGGAATGTGTCGATGCGTTTTTCGTGGGTCTTTTCCAGGATTTGGCGCAGGTCAAAACCTGGTCAATGGTGTATTTGCCAGGTCTGAAGCCGCATTGGTTTGGTCCAACTATGTCATTGACCATTGGCTTCAATCGTTTACACAGCACACTGGACAGCACTTTATATGCGATGGGAAGAAGGCTAATTCCTCTATAGCTGCCACATATCGTCTTACCTCTTTTTTGTGCACGGGACACATGATGCCGAGGTTCCAATCATTGGATATGCATTCCTCTAGCCTAGTTGTACTAATCAGCTGGTGCATGCTCCTGACCAGTATCTGACCACCAGTCTTGAATAGTTCGGCTGCTAACCCATCGGCTCCTGCTGCTTTATTGTTCTTAAGCCGATTATCAGATCCTCAACACGCTGGCTGTGTCTGTCACCAGGTTTCCATTTACATCTCTACAGGATGATGACCAAGACCTTCGGTTTTGGTGTTGTACTCGTTGGTAAAATTTCCGGACTTCATTCTGACTCCTGTACATCTCGATTTGTTCACCCTCACGTTTTTCTTGTTCTTTCTTCTTTTTTCTGGAAATACGTTTCTCCTCTCTCCTTTCTCACCATAATTTTCCATCGCACTACGTGTTTCTACTGTCTGCAGGGTTGCCCTACACACTGCGTTTTTCACATCAGTAGCATTACGACACTCCTGTTCGTACCATTGGTTTCTTGGTGGTGTTTTTTGGTACCCAACTGTTGCTTTTGCTGCAGTTTGTAGGGAGTGGGCAATACTTTGCCATTGTGCTTCTATACTATTAGCGGGACAACAAGCGCTTTCGTCAAGCAGGAGTAGGCCTATTGTGTACGCAGCTTTTCGACGTCGAGTTTCCGTGTTGTGTTAAATCGCACCTTTGCTGCTACATTAATACGGGTGCGAACCTTGGCTGATACAAGGTAATGGTCCGAATCGATATTCGCTCCTCGGATCGATCGGACGTCTAATACACTGAATGAATGTCTTCCGTCTATCACAACATGATCAATTTGATTTCTCGTTGCCTGATCAGTAGAACTTCAGGTGGTCTGGTGTATATCGAGATGCTTGTATCTGGTGCTGCTAACTACCATGTTTTTTACTGCCGCGAAGTCAATCAACCTCATGCCGTTGTCATATGTTTCTTCATGGAGGCTGATTTTTAATGTCATGGCCAGGGCAGGACCATGGGTTTCTTGGTGGTGGTTTTTGGTACCCAAGTGCTGTTTTGATGCAGTTTGTAGGGAGTGGGCAATTCTTTGCCATTGTGCTTCTATACTATTATCGTGACGAGAAGTGCTTTCGTCAAACAGGTGGGAAAGAAAGTAGTAGGCCTCTGCTATCCGTTGTGTTTGCAGCCCTTCGACGTAAAATTTCCGTGTTGTGTTAAATATCATCTTTGCTGCAACATTGAGACGAGTGCGAACCTTGGCTGCCATAAGGTAATGTTTTCTGTTCACTCCAAAGCCCGAAATTATGGCGCGAACATCGCGAAATTTTATATGGAGAAGTGGATCGGGCCACAGAAATGGCATGCTTATTTGTTTTTTATAATGATAGTCATTATTTAGCGGGTCAAATGGATTCTGACTTTTGTGTGATAAATGACAAAATTTGTATTCTATGGCGTATATATTAACACCTGAAGACATAGACCCGAGAAGTTGACAGTATATCCAAGAAGAGTGGTTGGCCTTTAAATTGATACCAATTATATTGTCGTATGCATTCGGATGTGTGAGTTAAACATAAATATTTGTAGGTACTTCCGTATTATGATATTATTTAGTAACCCATTAGAAGGCAGAAATAAAACCCTGATCGCTTTAAAATATTTCAAGAGGCTCCAGTAATGGTCAAGTACAACGCCTATAATCTTCGGTGATGATCACATAACAAATTTGGGATGAAGTGGACCGAAAATTTAATTTTTTGTGTGTTTTCGAGTCGATCTATAGGCAACAAGCCGAACATCACAACACAACCCATGGTGATGGGAATTTGGATAAGTAATTAGAAGGGCTGTACTGAATATTGGGAATATTCGGAAATATGTCAGTATAAGAAAGAGGTGCAAATATCATGAAATATTGTTCCGTGGTAGTTGTGTAGGGTATCGTATGGTCGGTCCCGTCTGACTATACTGCTCCGCTCACTGGTTTTATGTTAAGTTCTGCAAATTTTGAATTACCCGACCATTTCTGTTTTTAATTGTCAAGTCTTTATTATAATTTTTTGTTCGATGTAATTTCATATTTTTGTATCCTGTGTCGTATAAGTAATATTAATTCGGTAATCGATAGAGCGTATGCGTAATATTGCATTTGTAACACTCATACGCCGTTTGTTTCAAATTTAATATAAAATTCATTTGTTTTATTTTCTAGTATGCCATATCTATATTTTTGAACGGCACGTGAGCCAAAAAAAAAACATTTTTATGCATATAAACATATTTAGAAAAAATTGTTTGCATTAACTTTTGCCAATTTTTGGTTTTCTTTTAAATTTATTTTTATTTTCTATTTGTTGTTAACAATTTTTTTCTCGTGCCAAATGCATTGTTTTCTTCTTCTCAAATATTAATGAACCTTATTTTATTGTTAGCTGACAATGTGTACTATATATATATATATATATTTTTCCCCCAGATTGGGCAATACACATTTATCATTTTTTGTTTATGTTAATCCCACTTTTTTATTAGCCTCCC